CCAAGATTGAGGCGGTGCTGAGGTGGGAGGTGCCGAGATCGCCCACCGAAATCAGGAGTTTTCTGGGTTTGGCTGGATATTACCGCAGATTTATCAAGGATTTCTCCAAGATCGCTGTGCCACTTACTAGGATGACCCGGAAGGGTGTTGCGTTTTCATGGGGACCGGAGCAGCAGTCTTCGTTTGAGACGCTTCGTCAGAAATTGTGCGAGGCTCCAGTGCTTGCACTCCCGGAAGGGATGGAGGACTTTGTGGTATATTGTGATGCCTCTATATCGGGTTTGGGGGCGGTACTTATGCAGAGGGGTCATGTGATAGCGTACGCTTCGAGGCAGTTGAAGCCTCATGAGTCGAGATATCCCACGCACGACCTGGAATTGGGGGCGGTGGTGTTTGCCCTCAAAATCTGGCGACACTACTTGTACGGGGTTCGGTGTACGATTTACACGGACCATAAGAGCTTGAAATACTTGATGGATCAGCCAAATCTGAATATGCGTCAGAGGAGGTGGTTGGATGTGGTGAAGGATTACGATTGTGAGATCCTGTACCACCCGGGCAAGGCTAATGTGGTAGCCGACGCTTTGAGCCGTAGGGCGGATAGCGCCCCGATCCGAGACATTTGTATGAGGTTGACGGTTTTGACCCCGATTCTGGACATTATTCGAGGGGCTCAGATGGAGGCTGCAAAGCCGGAACACCAGAAGAAGGAACGGGTGGTGGGTCAGGTACCAGGATTTGTTACGGATGGTCGGGGGCTTATGACTTTTCAGGGGCGGATTTGGGTGCCGTTTGTGGGCGGTGCGCGCACTACTTTGATGGAGGAGGCACATCGATCGAAATTCTCGATTCATCCTGGTGCTACGAAAATGTATTTGGATCTCAAGAAGGAGTACTGGTGGCCATGTATGAAAAGGGATGTCGCTTGGTTCGTCGAGAGGTGCTTGACTTGTCGGCAGGTCAAGGCCGAACACCAGCGACCGCACGGTAAGCTGCAACCGCTAGAGATTCCCGAATGGAAGTGGGAACAAATCTCTATGGATTTCATTACCAAGTTACCGCGAACGGCGAGAGGAGTCGATGCGATTTGGGTAATTGTGGATCGACTAACAAAGAGCGCTCATTTCCTAGCTATTAGTGAGAGCTCTTCTGCGGAGAAGTTGGCCGAGTTATATGTGAAGGAAGTAGTATCTCGGCACGGGGTGCCAATCTCGATTATTTCGGACCGCGACGTGCGTTTCACTTCCAGGTTCTGGAAGAAATTCCATGAAGAGTTGGGTACTAGGCTGCATTTCAGTACGGCATATCATCCTCAGACAGACGGCCAGAGTGAGCGGACCATTCAGACGCTCGAGGACATGCTTCGGGCATGTGTGTTGGATTTCGGAGGGTGCTGGGATACCTATCTACCTCTAGCAGAGTTCTCGTATAACAACAGCCATCATTCGAGCATTGGTATGCCGCCCTTTGAGCTGTTGTATGGGCGGAGGTGTCGCACCCCCATCTGTTGGGGTGAGGTGGGACAGCAGGTTATGGGTAGCACGGAGATCGTGCTTCAGACGACCGAGCAAATTCAGATGGTCAGGCAGAGGTTGCTGACCGCTCAGAGCCGGCAGAAAAGTTATGCAGACAGGCGACGGTCCGAGCTTGAGTTCCAGGTTGGTGATCTCGTGCTCCTGAAGGTCTCTCCTTGGAAAGGAGTGATTCGATTCAGGAAGAGGGGCAAGTTGGGGCCCCGGTATATTGGTCCTTTTCGTGTGATTGCAAGGGTGGGACGGGTAGCCTACCGTTTAGACTTGCCAGCAGAGTTGGGACAGATTCACGACACTTTCCATGTGTCGCAGCTGCGGAAATGTATAGCCGACGAATCAGCGGTGGTTCCGTTAGGAGATATTCAGGTGGATGCAAGTCTGAATTATGCAGAAAGACCTGTAGCCATCAAAGATCGGAAGACAAGGTTTTGAGAAACAAGGAGGTGCCCCTGGTATTGGTTCAGTGGCAGCATCGGAAGGGATCAGAGATGACTTGGGAGCCGGAGCGGGAGATGCGGGAGCAGCATCCGGAGCTTTTTGACTAAGCGGGACTTCGAGGGCGAAGTCTTATTCTAGTGGGGGAGATTTGTAACAGCCCGGATCCCCAGGTATCTCCATTTCCTTATATTTTTGGCATTCTGTGAGGGGACTCGGCGAGTTGGTGGTTGAACTCGTCGAGTCGGGTCGCGGTTTTTAGCGGGGGTTCGCGTCCGGACTCGGCGAGTCCAAGGGATGGACTCGACGAGTCCGTGCTGTTTAATGAAACCCTAATTCCCCGGCCCTAAGCTCTATTTAAAGGACCTTATGGCCCTCATATGCGGCCACCTTGAACCCTAAGAGCCTCCATACGTCTGTAAGCCCTTGTGTGTGTGTTTGAAGGCCTCTTGTTCTTCATTTTGTGTGTTAGTGCAAGGAAAGGAGGGAGAGGAGCAAGCTTGAAGTGTTGGGGAGCTTAGATCTGTTGCCATTTCATCAAGGGGGTCTTCTTGAGGTAACTTTCTGAGCCAATCTTCGTGTTTTGTGTTGATGGGCCAAATCTAGGGTTTCTTCTTGCCTTTCTTGGCTTGAATAAGAAGTATGAGAGGTCCCATGGAGACATGGAACCTAGATCTGGACTTTAGCAGGTCCAGGAGACCCCTTATGACAAGCTTTATGCCCATCCATTTGAGTTAGAAGCTATACTTGCCATATTGAAGGTTGTTTCTTCAAAATAAGCCTTGTATGCATTGCATGGCAACCAAGACTGAGACTTTACGTGACAAATAAGCTTGGGAAGGCCAGATCTATGTATTTATGGAACGGATCTGACCGCAAGAGCCAGTTTTAGCTGGTGCATGGCATGGACTCGCCGAGTCTGAAGAACAGACTCGACGAGTCACTTGAAGATTGTCCTTGAGACCATCTTGTGTGTAGACTGGACCGAGTTGTGAGCGACTCAGTGAGTCGCAGAGAGTTGGAAAGGTTTTGACAGGTGGACCGAGTCAGGATGGGACTCGCCGAGTTGGCCTTAGACTCGGCGAGTTGAGTCGCGGTGACCCTGCGATTCAGGCCCAGGTGGAACTCGTCGAGTCAGGGGAGTACTCGACGAGTCAAAGGGAAAATTCTTGAGAGTTGGTAAAAACGCGTAGACTCGCCGAGTCACTATTGTGCACTCGCCGAGTCTAGTCCAAATTAACTAAAGACTGCTGACCGGGTCAACCGGTGTTGACTTGAGTTGAATGGTCCACCTTAGTGGTACAAGTAATATTTATAGATTTATATATATATCGTAGGAGGATTTCAGCTCGAGGGTTCGAGCCCGAGTGATTCCAGGATTTACGGGTAGCAGCTTAGCAAGGCATACGAGGTGAGTCTTCTCACTATACTGTACCCGGAAGGGTTTTGACTATGTGACCGGAAGGTCGATTATGATATGGAATATATGCTTTATGTGTGTTAAGTTATTTGCTATATGTGACATGTATGATATGTTTGATATGGGCCGGAAGGCGTGGTCATATGGACTGTGAAGGTTGATGTGGGTAGGACCGGAAGGTTTACCCAGTCGGGACGGAAGTCCCCTGAAATACATGGACCGGAAGGTCAAGGCCTGGAAAGGCGTATGTGCGTATGTTGTATTTTGGGAACTCACTAAGCTTTATGCTTACAGTTGTTGCTTATGTGTTTCAGGTGCGAGTGAGGACCGTGGGAAGGCGCCAGCGTGATCGTACACACACTCGGGGAAAACTATTTTATCTTTTGTTATGTAATCGTTGGAGACTACAACGTTATTTTGGAAATCTAAATTAATTGCTCATGTCTTAATGGTTGTAAAAATGAAAATTTTTGGTTGGAAATTTTATGACGTTACACGATGCATGTGGAAATGAGGTAGAGCGACGACTAGACCTGGACATGCTTGACGAGAAGCGTCAAGGTTCTCGACTACGACAAGCAGCCTACAAAGCCTGTACAAAAAACTTTTACAAAAAACGGGTACGGGTAAAGAAGTTCAAAATAGGAGAATATGTGTTAAGGAAGAATGAAGCGAGCCATTGGGCAAGCTAAGCATGACCTGGGAAGGAACATACAATATAGTGGGTACGCACCGGGATGGAGCATACACACTGGAAGCACAAGATGGGAGACCGATACCTCGAACATGGAATGCACACAACCTGCGCCACTTTTATTTGTAAAACAACTGACAAATGGTTAACCTAAGGAGGGGTAGTGACGCCCGAAACTCCAGCCTAAGAGCTACATCTTGGTCAAATGTTGACATGAAGACCCTTAAGTTGTCTCCAAAATTTTCCGATTAATAAAGTTTCACAAGATAGTAGACCAATCTTACTAGTCGGCGTATGCACATATGTATATAAGCATAAATACAAACACAATGAACAAAAACAGAGAAAAAAGGTGTGCGAATTTGCCAAATGACAACACAAGCTGATCACCTACATCATTTGAGCAAAACAAATCGCCAACATGCAGCCACAAATATCAATAGGAAATGTCCCCTCTATGAACATGTTGGTTCAAACAAGCAATAAACCTTCCAGGCTCCCGAACCAGACATACTCAAAGGGTTCGAAGGATGATAACCTTCCCTTGACAAATTAACACACATGAGTCAAGGGTGTCTTGCAGTGATGATCTCCGCTCACCTTAAGCGACCACACAAGAGAGGCAATTGGTCACTCAACTAAGGATTATAAGCAAGGCCTACAAAATACTCTTTGGGGAGACACCTCCCTAAAAAAAATAGAGATGCTCATGAAAATGGGCAAACACTAACGATGAAGACCCCACAAAGTTGAATACATTAACATTCTAGAAAGTTCATACAAAAAAATGAGAAACAAACAACAAACATAAAAAAACAACACAACAAAAATCAACCAAAAATCAACCTTGGCCAGGTTAAGTCAAGGCAGCGCCCTCAACGCCATCGTCTAAAATGATTTCGTCCTCTTCATAGCATAGTTAGTGAAGATCGGTAAGGCCGAGCTCGACCAAATGAAGATAAGACATGAAGTCCATCTTCGAAAAAGCCTTGATGGCAACATGCATTGCATCAATAGACCGTGCCGCAACATCTAGATTGGATGATCCAGGACTGCTGCCGGATGTCCACACTCGTGCCTTCTGCTTCCTCCTCTCTGTACCAGTAGCCATAGACACGACATTCACACGAAAAATCCATACCGCGGACTCACTACTCTCAACAACATGTCTACCACACGAACCGCCACCTTCTGAGAACTAAGCTAAATCAACCTCTAAAACTTTCCTCCTCGAGACCTCAGTGGTGAACTGATCCTCTCGCAGTACAAATGCTCCACCAATGCTTTTTCTCCGAGACCAATTATGGACTTGCTAGGATAACAGACTAACCTCCCCATCTAGAGTCGCCAACGCGAGATTCTACAATAGTGTTCTCCCTAAAAAGCATAAAAGTAGTGTTCATCAAACTTGTGTCGCTCCTCTTCGAGAAGCTAAACCTTCTATGCAAGCTCATCATGCCCTAATTTAACAACATCCAACTCTGCTAAATC